TTTTTTAATTTTTTTTTTTATTTATTTAGCTTTGCCAACTAGGGCAGGGTCACCACAACAGCATATGCCAATTACTGTGGGCCCTTTTTACCTAACCCACCCTTGTCAACTTTCCCTGTGGGAGGAAACCGGAGTACCCGGGGAAAACCCACGGCGTTCGGCAGAGCGTTGACTTTTACTCTTTTCACATGGGGACTGGGTTCGAGTCGCACTGAGAAGGTACTTAGTGAGATTCGAACCTGCAGCCTCAGAGGTGAAAGGCAAGTGCGCTAACCACTTGGCCACCGTAGCCCCGGTTAGTTCAAAATTTAGTCTATTACGCAAATGGTCAATTCTCGCTGCGATTTCTAATGCGATTTTCTTCTTCTGACGGAGATGTGAACGAGTGGATGAGTTATGAATGTTCTGAGTATCTGTACCACAGAATACTATACAGAAGCACAGAATACTATACAGAAGCACAGAATACTATACAGAAGCACAGAATACTATACAGAAGCACAGAATACTATACAGAAGCACAGAATACTATACAGAAGCACAGAATACTATACAGAAGCACAGAATACTATACAGAAGCACAGAATAGGAAGTTATACCAGAAGCGTAACTCTAGTCGTTTCCCTTATTGTTTGACGTCCACGAAAATTTTTAACTCGCTCACGTCAGGCCACGCCATCCTGGCTAGTACAGCCGGAAGTTTTTATCAGGATTTGGTAGGTACAAAGTGCCGGTTGTACTAGCCAGGATGGCGTGATTGATGACGAATCGCTTGTAAAAACGCGGACAAATATTTGCTCGAGTTACGCTTCTGGTATAACTTCCTATTCTGTGACAGAAGTCCATCTCCATTGTTTTTAGCGTAAGCTCTATTCGTCATGATTCGTCACTCAGCAAGTACCGTAAACAGAAGCAGTCCCCCCCCTGGAAATACTAAAAATGGCGCACGTCCAGGGGGGTGACTGCTTCTGTTTACGGTACTTGCTGAGTGACGAATCATGACGAATAACGCTTACGCAAAAAACAATGGAGATGGACTTCTGTGTAGTATTCTGTGTCTGTACCCTCATCGAAACATTCCTAGCTCATCCACTCGTTCACATACATCAGGAGAAGAAAATTGCAGCTAAAATCTCAGCAAAAATTACAAGTGTAAACGGGCCTTAAAGGTACTTTTGCATGATGCTGTGATTTGTCGTTTACGATTCGTATTCTGGCGTATGAAAATCACTGCTGACGCCACAACTGCTCTTCTTTCACTTGACAGCGAAATGCAGCTACTTCTCGAGAGCCGATTCGATTACATACGCCAAAAGACGAATCACACGCGACAAATGGCAACGTGTAAACACTGGTAAGCAGCCTTCAAGCACAGTTTGTAAATAAAGGAATCTTGACAATATTTCACTAATTTTTTAAATGCACCTCGGTGACAACTTACTTTAGCAAATTCTGGCCTTCTCCTTCACGTTCGGCCAATTTTCCCTCTAAACGTTGCACATGCCCCTTGAAAACGGAAAATTTATTTATACATAATTATGGCAACCTGTTCATGAGCACAGTGCGTTCCCCTTGACGCTAATAAAATCGTCTGCCGTTAGACAGAGTAAAACAATAAATTATGGCGCAATGCAATGCTAACACATGGACATCTCTGACTAATCCATAAGCGCCAAAATAATCTGGATTAGACAGAATACTAAAATAATCTGACGTTAGACAGAGTAAAACAATAAATTAGGGTGCATTATGGTGCAATGTAATGCTGATGCAGGTGGGCAGATAGTCTGATTAACGTATTGAGCGCCAGCACTCACCCTTAAAGAGTAAAATAATCTGGATTAGACACAATAAAATAATCTGGCGTTATTGAGTAAGAGTAAAATAATAAAGTAGGGCGCATTTTGCAACTTAATGGGTGCTGATAATCTGATATATTAACCCATTGATCTTGCGCACGCTCTCCCCTTGAAGAGTAAAATGGTCTGGCGTTAGACAGAGTAAAATATAAAAAATAGGGCGCAATGCGACTTAATGGGATAAAATATTCAATTCTTTGTACAAAGGGCCATGAAAAAGTTTACCTTTGCCTTTTCATGTTTCTCGCTTAGAGAATCGTATTCGTAGAGTATCTATGGTGTAGAAAGAAATATTCAATAGAAATCAGGAAATGAACTCGAGATGATCCAGTTCAACACAGATCTTTCTAAAGTATATATAGATCCTACCCTTTTTAACAGCTCTTTATCTCTTTGAATACTTTCTCTTATTTCATTCTGCAAAAAATTTACCAGAGAAAATGAAGGTGGGAGTTTTAATTAATCATTTTTCCTATATGTGTTATATTCTACATACCAAGCCAGCCTTGGCAGAACTGGCAGTAACATCTTTAACAGTTTGTTGCAGTGCCTTGACTTTCTTCTCCAAATCTTCAATGGTTAAATCTTTATCTCGGTTTTGTACAACCAGACGATCTACTCTTTGTTGTGTTGCATTGAACATACTTCTGTCCACTTCATACTTCACTTTCTTATCTTCCTAAAAAACAAAACAAAAAAAGATTATATAAGCTATGAAAAGATTATGTAAGCTATGAATTCAAACTGCAGGATGGTCAGTCAATTTACAGTAGCTTCATTCCTCCTGATATAAGATGACCAGTAGTCTCTGGTCAGTTGCTTAATAAAGAGCTTTAGACTTTAATACCATGCAGTATGACTACAACTCCCTTATTAGGATCAGTGTACTCCATGTGGAGTGAGAACTCAAATCCAAAAAGTGAAGACAAAGCTTTTTTATAGGCAGACAACTAAACAAACCAAGTTCAAAGATAACTTCGGTAGGAACTTACTAATTCTCTTTTTAATGTTTCAATTACAAGCTCCAACTCACGTATGTTTCTACAACAAAAAGTTTGAAGAAAAATTGAACCATATCTATTTATGCCAAAGGTAGGCATAAAAACGTGGCTGGCAAAGTGTTTCCAATCTTTTCAAATCAGTCCTGACACAAAACCACGACAGCAACTTTACAAGAATGTATATTTCTTCAAAGCTTACTTGTTTGTTTTCTCAACAAGAGTTTCTTGCACCTTAGTTCGATCTCGACAGATCTTACTTTCTTCTTTCAATTTATGACATTTGTCTGAGAGTTTTTGATAGTCATCTTGAAGTTGATTGTATTTTCTTTCTAATTCGTCTTTCGATCTCTTCAGAATCACTACAAAGAATCACAATAATACAATACTATAGTAATACCTCCAACACTATTTACACAGTAAGGATTTTGAAAACAATTTCGAGAGTTTGTTTCTTATTTGCAGTTACGTGTTTTGCATAGTGTCAACGTTCTTTATATATATATATAGCCAGGAGCCCCCCCCCCCCCATTAAAAGCTAGCCCCCTTCTGTTGGTGAGGCTAGCGTCTTTAAACAAAGTTTTAAACTTACATTTTTCTTTACCGACTAGATCACATTGAGCTTGAAGCTGCTCTCGTTGTCGATCAATTTCTTTCACCTTGGCAGCCGTCTCCACTTTTCTTTTCTTCAACTCTTTCGACCTCGTATCAATGATTTGATTGGTTGCGACTAACTGCTGACATTGACTTTCCAATTCCTGCCTGCGAATATTTGTCTGCGTCAACTGATTTTGCATGAGTTGTTTGGCATTTTCCAAAGTATCACATTTACTGCTGAGCTCCAGGTTTGCTTGCGAAAGATTTTCAAATTCTTTTTGAATCTCTCCTTTCACCGAGCTTTCTTGTTGGTTGTGTTGAAAAATGATATTTTTCATGTCTGCAAGTTGTTTCTTCAGACCAGTTATTTCGTTTTCATAGTAACGTCGCAAATCCTCCACTTGTCTTGCATGCTGTTCACGTAAGCAAGCGTTCCTACAAAGCGAGAAACCATATATTACAAAGGCTGGTTTTCACAGTAGGAATTTTGCATATAGGTAAATTTTGCATGTTAAGACTAACCCCAAATATAATTTTTGGCATGTGTAATATTTGAGTCATTCTGAGAAGAAATGTAATGTATCTTTATAGTAAAAAAACTTCATCTTGATCAACTTTTTCACTGTCAAAGTTCCACAAAAAACAAAGGAAAACTAATTTGCAATTCACCTAATGACATCATATCTGGAAACTTTGAGAGTGAAAAAGTTGATCAAGATGGGATTTTTTATTATAAAGATATATTACATTTCTTCTTCGAATTACCCAAATATTAAACATACCAAAAATCATATTAGTGGTTAGTCGCACTTTAAACACGGAGTCAGTTTCATCAGACATTTCTTACAAATCCTTAAAAACTTAAAGAATTTATCTATGCAGAATTCCTACTGTGATCACAGAAATTTTGACAGTTTTAGGCTTGTTTTAGGCCCGTTTCATACGCCGTACTTCACATGTGCCGAATACATTAAAAACAATAGGTAATGAGGCATTTCAGCTCATTACCTATTGTCTTTAATGTATTCGGCACATGTGAAGTACGGCGTATGAAACGGGCCTTATACGTCGAATTTTGGTCGCGTCGAATGCAATTAAGACAATAGATAATGAGATGATAAACCTCATTAAGCTTCATTATCTATTGTTTGAATTGCATTCGACACGACTCTGATCTCTTTTGGGAAAAGGCCAATTGATCAGTTGAACTTTAAGTATTTTACCTATTCTCACGTGTCATGGACGCATCCAATTTTTCAAATATTTTCTGATTCTGTTCGCTTTGGTGTTTCCACAATCTCTCGAGACGTTCATTTTGTTGCTTCTGTAATTCCTCTGCAACTTCAACCCTGGAAACATCAAAATCAGGTTCGCCGTCTTCGTTGTTTTCAAAGCTGCGATCCATCGGAGTAGATTGTCCAACGAAGTCGTCACTGCGTTTACTAAGCGCCGAATGTTCCTGCAGAAAAGGTTTCTTTTCGTCTACTGTTGACTTTGCACCTGGAAATATTTCGCGAGAGGTTGGTCCCAAAAAATGACAAGCAGAAGATATTGAAAACGAAGAATTAATATTTGTTATCATTCCGGGGTCGGTCGATTGTTCGTAAGCCAGTTAGTATTTAATAATCCTAAGTTAGTCAAAAACATTAAAGCACATTTCCCAACAGCCGTTGTACCTAAACTTGACAATATTTTTGCAGAAATCTTGTCTGCATCCATAAATTAAATTTCCTAAAGTTCTAAAACAAACCTATGTGAGGAAATGCGCAAATTAAAACATCTGGTTAAATTTAAAGTATTAGCAGCTAATCGTAACTGGCATCAGTACCATGTCGTTGTGCTGGTACCACGGCAATACTAATCCATAAACTAACTCAATTCCGTCTCGAATTTCTCTTCAAATGTTAATTTAGATTCGTTTACTATGGTGACTCTTCAGTGAAACACCTCAAAGGATCCAAAATCTAACAATTCTGGAGTTTTACTGTAAATAACCTCAAAGGATGCTACAACTTGGCAAGACAAAATCTCTGCATGCCGTTTTGTTTTTCAACACTCCGTTCGGAGTTTCAAAACACAACAAACGTTTTCTTGCGTATGTTACTAAAACGATAAGTCACTGTACCTAAAGTCGCAGATAATTCGTTAAACGTTCCTTTCCCCGACAAAGATGTTGAAAAAAGCTCCGAAGCTAATTTCGTCTCTTGATTGTAAAAGTTCCTTTCTGCTGTCGGCGACTCTTCCATAATTTCTTCCCCACTTTGGTTTCAGATAATTTCATTTTATTCAAAACTCGTCTTACAATTGCTAACAAATGTTGCCAAGTGAGGAAGCGCAAAATTCGCGCGCAATTCATGACGTCATAATACAAAGTAGCTACGTAATGGGAAATCCAATTCGCAAATCAGATTAGCCCGTGTAAGTGACGTCATCAAACTTCACGTGCAAAACACGCAAGCTGATTAATAAACCAGTAAAATTGATACGAGTGGTACTAACACCGCAAAAAAATAAAAAACTTGTCTAGTAAGATTTACTTTACTCAAAGAATGAGCAAAATTCTGATTGGTTAAGAACAATTATTTTTGAAATTTACTGTAGTACAATTAACAAAACAAGAGCAGGGCCTGGTAACGAGGCAGGAAAAATCAACATGGCGACAGATAGTAGCAATGTGTAAGTTTTCACTTTTTTGACGACTTTTAATGAACTACCTTTATGCTATTAGAAGCAATTTTAAATTACCAAGAACAGAAATTTGCACTTCCCTGGGTTCATTATAACTTCATTATAACAGGATAATTTCTAAAGGTCTGCTTTTTTAGACACCCTGTATAATTTAAAGGGTAAAAGTTTTAACCGGTTGTCCATTTAATTCAATTGCTTAATAAACAACAATTCAAAAACAAGACAAATTTGGTTTTGCATTTACGCAGCACTGAAAAACTCTTATGTAAACCTTATACATCTTGCCCATGTATTTCTCTGACATGTGAAATGCGACAGGCACAGCCACAGAACAGAACAAACATATGGTCATATTTTGAATATTAATTTATTATATTTTTCATATAAAAGAATGCTAAGTTATGAGTCTCTGTGCTTTCTAGCTATATATATATATATACAAATACATCTTCATATTTAATTATATTCTATATATTTACATTTAAAATCCCGTTTGATATCTGTTATAAATTGTATAAAATAAGTTACATTTATGAATGTATACGAATATTATTAGGTTTTAATATAATATAATAAAATTTTCTACAGCATAAATACTACATAGCATAATTTTGTATTCTCAATAGATAATTTAAAACTGGTCATAAATATATATTAGAGCAATAGAATTCTGAATTAATCTTTTCGTTCCACATTGAATCATTGACGTACGATTGTAGGCGAATGCTAAGGTAGATTTAATACTAATTAATAAATTTCAGTGTGTTTAACCTGGCTACAACGTGCATGTCATCTATCGGTCGGCTGAATAACAATATTTTTTCAGCTATAACATCAAACATGCTCAATAAATAGCTACCTTTGACAAATAATTTTACATTTTCTACTTGAAAGCTTTTTTGAAAATTTTCTTTCCTTTGGAGAAAATATTCCTCTTCTTTTTGTGCTGAATGTCGCCATCAGCAGGGCCACGGGTTACATGATTTGATGAACTTACGCTCGACTCTCGTCCCTAAAAGAGGGCATACTCATGAAACCTCTATCACGTGATCATAATTAACCAATTAAATGCCAATAACTTGGTAAGGTGTTGTGATAGGTGCAAATACGATCACGTGACACTGCACACGAAAGCTTATAATCACATACCTGCGCAGATAAAGCCGCGTTTGCCTTCGAGGATAGTTCGTCATCGTTATTCGTGCGATCAACATCGTGATTCGTCTCTTCTTCAATGGGCTGGAGGAAATTTGAGGGAACAAGACCACGAATACCATGAAGTTCACCCTATATAGGTGAAGTACACAAAGTATATTGTGGGAATTGTAAGCTTGTTTTAGATTCAAATATCGCGAGATTTTGGCCATCTCGCTTGATAGAACAAACATTTACACTAGAAACTTCCATCCACAAAAAACATTTCACATCAAGTTCACTCGTTTAGTGTTTTCCACTTTTTCCCAACTAATGCTTGTTTTAAATTACGTTCAGTAACAGAAACAAATCTCGCCATGCTTCATTTTAGACGAAATATTTCAAAACCGATTATATATGAGGCAATCTGACCAAAATGCGAGGGCTTGAAATCTAGTCCAGTCCGAATAAAATAGCACTTAAGTGGGGTGAATTAATTTTGAGTCCCAAGACAGGATTCAATAAACTTCACCAGATATCCAGTATTATCATGTGAGCAAAATAAAGCAATATGATTGGCTAATTTACTCATGAATTATATTAATTAGTTCGAGGTTAGTATTTTCTTCGTGTAAACAAGCGCGCTTTTCTCTGTAGAACTTGCCACATTTGCAAGTGGAAAACTATATAATTTTCTGCAGATGGAACGTCATAATTAGTTAATTACGCGAGTTTTCAAAATCGTGTATGATTGTATGTAAATAAATGTTTGAAAACGTACTATGAAAAAGCCGTCGTCATCCATCTCCCCAAAGACAAAAATAATCTCGCCTGCCTTGAACTTTAGCTCAACCTATAAATACACAAATAATCCGATCAAGTACGTAGATTATCAACCGTTGAATGTGTAAAGCCCAGGGCAAACTAGGAAACATTGTTGCGGAAACAATGTTTCCTACCAATGTTTCGCCATGTTTCCCAGAGTGGGCAAACACTAGGAAACATTAGCGAGAAACATAGGGAAACATCAAATGTTTCTAAATTTGCTAGGAAACATTTTGGCTTCTCGGGAAGCAAATTTTGTTTCCGCAACAATGTTTCCACGGGTGGGCAAACCTGGAAACATTTGAGGAAACACCGAGAATTACAAATGTTTCCGCAACAATGTTTCCTAGTTTGCCCAGGGCTTAAATTGTAATATATAATATTTATAGTTCGTGAGCGTTGATTCCTCGTTCTCCCAAACTCCAAACGCGTGTTTCTATAGAAACACGGAAAATGTTTTCTATTTCTTAAATAACTTTCAGTAAGGCATACCTCACTATCAACGTTGGGAGAATCTCTCGCTGGATTATAGTCATACAAAGTTTTCATCTTCCTAGGTCCTAAATGATCATTTTCTAAATTCTCCCAAAACGACAGTCTATCACTCGCCGCGGGTTCCTCGCGGCCAAGGTTGTCGGAAATAACGTCGACATCCAGTTCACCATTCACTTGACCGCGCGAATTCAGCTCATTATGTAATCCTACGTCACTATTAGCTTGCAGGAACAACTCTTCAGCCTCATTAATATTCATTTCAGCAATCATGTTTGACGGAACAAAACCTTGTTTGAGTTTACATTCACCCCAGTAAAACCCGTCGTCATCCTTCTCACCGACCACCTATGACAGAGAAAATAGATTAAAAATAAGAAAGTTTTAAAAGCCCATTTCCACTCAGGAAAATTTTCCGCGGAAAGAAAATTTTGTAAAATGTGATTGGTCGACACAAATTTTCAGTCGGAAAAAAATTTTGAAGTTGAAAATTTTCAACTTTTAACAATGATATTTTCGAAAGATTTTATGTCCGTGGAAATTTTTCTCGAGCGGAAATGGGCCTTTAGTCGTCTTGCAATAGACCTTTCCCCTTTTAAATGAAATTTTGATCTAGATACGCCTGGACAAAAATATCATAACTTGAAAGAGCATCACAAAATTAGTAATATTCCGAAGTTTCGTTGCGAAATGTTGTAAAATGCGGATAATATAGCCTTCCGAAGTTTGCCGTTTTTCAGTCATTTTGTATTACAAACGGGAAATTGATAATCAGTTTGATCATCTGATTATCAATTTCCCATTTGTAATACAAAATGACTGAAAAACGGCAAACGTCGCAAGGCTATATTATCCGCATTTTACAACATTTCGCAACGAAACTTCGGAATATTACTAATTTTGCTATGCTCTTTCAAGCTGTGATGAAATTTTTGTCCAGACTTGTCTAGATCAAAATTTCTCTTAAAAGGGGATCGGAAAGGTCTATTGACGGCTAAAATACGAAGGAGGCATCTCAGACTTGACAGTCTCCAAGGCTTACTAATGCGCGTCAGAGCAAGCACCATTCATCTCCCAAACAAACTCGTTGAACCAAATGATTGTAGAAGAAAACTTGTCGTCTATTATCCATCGTATGAAAAATGACCTACCATATAAAAAATGGCCTACCTTAATGATATCGCCCTCATTAAAAGGTAACTCTTCATCAGCACCATCTTCATTCGGCGACATTAATGACGGATCGTAACTATAAAGGGCGACGTAATACCGTTCCGAAACATTCTCGCTTCTTTCCGACTCTGCTCGGTTCCTTCCGGAAATAACCTCGGACGTTTGTTCCGAACCATTGATCATGTTCCCATTATGATCACTGTCGCCTGACGCCATTCCGCGGTTGCTAGGCAACGAAAACGTCGCCATAATGGTTTCCAAGGCGTGATCGGCCGCAGGCGGCTCTTCGTATATGGAACTGTCTGATTTTAAAGAAGTTCTAGTAGGGCAGGTTGACTCGCTTAAGTTCTCTGTAGATTCGTCATCTGTTGTTGTATGGCTATTCGTACGAGCTTCTATATTTTCCTGCATGTTACAGCTGACAGTATCCGTTTGACTCAGAGAATCGTTACTATTGGCTTTTCCTGGAGTCTCTGTGCGGCTCGAAGAATCACAGTTTCCTTCAGTATTACTATCATTTTTATCCTGTTCAACACTCGTATCTCCTAAAATCTTATTGTCATTGTTTGATCCACAATTACCATTATTTACCCCATTTTCCCTGTTATCTACTTCACCATCATCACCGCTAGTCCTATCATCACCCTTATTAACCCTAGGTGCACCCACGCGTTCGCCTTTATTCACCCCAGATTCACCTTCGTCACCCTTCGAGTCTCCAATAATACCATCATCGTCATCTAAGAGATCTAAGACATCGTCTTCAGTTCGGAAACCTTCGTCATCCGATGCAATAGTTCGGCTCCGACTCGCGGCTAGATCCGAGCTCTTAGAAGAGTCAGCAGGGAGAGATTTTAGTTGTTTATTCGAAAGGGTAGCCTCGTCATCACTCGTTGTGGTTTCCGTAGTCCTTTGAGGATTGTTCGTATCTGTA